CCCCTCCCTCCAATGAAATGCTGCTCAGATTAACTGTCTTCCAAGCATTTCTCTTGCTCCAAAGCCCTTCACATCCATCCAACCCATGAGAGCCTCGGAACAGGCCTGGCGGGAAGGCGGGGCAGGGACCCGCCCAGCCCACAGAGGCAGAGCTGAGGGCAGAAGGTGAGGCGGTCACCCAGCACCGCCCTGCACAGCACAGGCGTGTCAGCTGCCAGACCAGAGCCCGGAGCCACGGGATCCGCAGCCTGATCAGACAAGACAGTGACTGTTCTGGGAAAACCCGCCTCCTCTCTCTCCTTCCTTCACACGCTCAGCAAACGTTCCCCCGGAGCTTCTCCGGGGCCTAGGCCGTCACGCCTCCCGGAGGAAGTGGACGGGAGTCGCCTCTCTTTCCCGCCTGTTTCCACAGCTCTTTGTGCCTCATCGTATCAGGAACTTTATTGCTGTGCCACCTCGGGCCATTTACTTACCCTCTCTGTGCCTAGTTACCTCCGTTATTGAGTAGAGATTAAAGACAAAGTCTCCCTTCAGCCTACAGAACATGAGAAATATCTGCAAATCATGTATCTGACAAAGGGTCAGGATCCAGAATATCCGAAGAACTACAACCCGACAACAAAAAAACAAACGACCTGATCGAAAAACGGTCAAAGGACTTGAATAGACATTTCCCCAAAGAAGATACGCAAATAGTCGATCAGCAGATGACTAACCTTCAAAGACCTGCGGATCAAAACCACAGTGAGAGATCCACTCACGCCCACGAGAATGCCAACCAAAACGGAAAATAACGAGTGTGGAGGGGGACGTGGCGAAATCGGAACGCGCCCTGGTGGTGGGAGGGTGAGACGGGGCCGCCATGGCGAACGGGATGGCGGTGCCTGAAAAAACGGAGACCAGAATCACCAAAGAATCCAGCACTCGTACTTCTGGGTATATACACCAAACAGTTGGAAGCAGAGTCTCCAAAAAGTATTTGTGCAGCCATGTTCATAGCAGTGTTATTCGTAAGCGTCGAAAGGTGGAAGCGCCCTAAGCATCCTTCCGCGGATGATGCGTAAATAAAATGTGGTTTGTACAGGCGGTGGAATATTATCCGGCCTTTAAAAAGGAAGGAAATTCTGACACGTGTACGAGGTGGATGAACCTCAAGGACATTACGCTGAGTGAAATAAGCCGGACACGGAAAGACAGATGCCGGACGAACCCACTTAGGTGAGGCACCTTCAGGCGTCAAGTTCACAGAGACAGAGAGGGGGGTGGTGGTTGCCGGGGGTGGGGGCGAGTCGTGTGTTGAGGATGGAGTTTCAGGAGCAAAAGGATAACAGTTGTGGAGATCGAACGTGAATGTACTTACAACTGAACCGTACACTTAAAAATGGTTAAAATGGTAAATTTTACGCTATGCGTATTTTGCCACGATCAAAATGTTTTTAACTTTTAAGTGTTTCCACCTACAAATAAACAGAATCTACCTTATAATGCTGTTGTGAGGCTTAATAATAGGTGTGAGATATTTATGATTTGTGGACTTTTCTTGACATTATTACATTTTGATAAAACGTTTACACAAAAATCGCAACAAGCGCTCGGAGCAGTGCAGAGCGAGAGGCGCTATGTGAGGCCACAGCACAGTCACTGCCCCGCGGACGTCCCGGATGCCCCAGCCGGGCTGTGGGCCCCCGAGGACGCAGCCTGGATCCTCCGCCTCTGCCTCCCCGGGACCCAGCGGAGCACCTGGCACACGCAGTAGCAGCAACAACGATCAACAATAAGAACAAATAAGAGCAAAATCATAGCCGATATGTATCGGGCTTTTACCGTGGGCCAGTTCTGTTGGAAGTGCTTTATCGACATCGGTCCATTTAATTCTCAGAACAATCCTATGGGGTTTGGACTCTCGTAATTTCCGTCTCACAGATGAGGAAACTGAGGCCCCGTGACACACGACGTTTGGTGCACCGAGTGATTTAGGCGACTGATGCAGTGGTGTGACCTCACCCGCTTCCTGCCCACGCCTGGAATGCCGCCGCCCGCCGGCGAAGTCTTCCTCCTGCTTCCTGATGCAGCCCGGGCGCCATCTGCTGGCCAGCCCTGGCCAGCCCGCCCCTCCCTCCCCAGCCCTGTCACCGAGTTCATCATTCTCTCCCGCTCCCCAAACCCCTGTGCCCCCAACGCTTGCCCTGCTGCATTAGGATTCCTCCGTTTGTCGTCTGCCTTCCCTTTGAGACCAGGAGCCTCTTACAAGCAGAAACCACATCATGACCCTAGGGCCTGGCACATAGTAGATGCTCAGTTAATATTTATTGGGGGAGAGGGGGTGGTAAGCGGATGTGGAATTGAACGCTTGGTCTCTCTCATCTCCAGTGCAGAAATTCCTGTTATCATACCAGCCACCTTCGATCATCTTTGGAACAGGCAGGAGATATAGATCTGCCACCCAAATGCAGTCTAACTCCCTCGGCGAGCGATTCGTCAACCTCTTGACAGGAAAACGGCGCTGTTTCTGATGCACGACATGACACATTTTCGACCCATGGTCGAGCGCTTATTCACCAGGCCCTCCCCGGTGTGACCGTGGAGCACGTCAGAGTCACAGCGTTTGGCGCCCACCGACCCCATGAAGTGAGTCACACAGGTACAATTATCCGTGTGTGACAGAGGGGGAAACCGAGGCGCAGGGAGTGAGTTACTCAAGCTTCTTCTTACGGGCACGTCTTCTGCCTCGTCCTGGTGCTGCGGTGCCAAAGAGCAGACCTCGGAACAAGGAAGCTGGCTTCTCTGGGACTGCCCTTGGCGTTTGCTAGCCAGCCCGGGGCGGAGCCCTCTGTCAGCGGGCACGACGAGGGACTGGTGGGGATGACGTCGTCCCAGACCCCGACCTCTGGGAGACGGCTCTCTTAAAGCACCCTCTGAGACGGTCCCTCGGGGCAGCTTTATTCTTCCAGAGAGTAAGGGAAATAGTTTCCAGGTCTAGCAAGGGAGACACAAGGCACACACGAGCCCTGACCTCCCCTGCGACGGCGTGCTCGTCAGGGGCATGCTGGCCCGCACAGGCCAGAACCGTGGCCCCCAGAGGCGCGCCCCCCGTCACACCCACGGAGGCTGCCAGGGGCCAGGAGGCAGGCCAGTTGCCCTGGGGGAGAGGATGTCCTGGGGCATTGGGCAAGCACGTCGGGGGAAGGCAGGGCCTGCAATCCTGCTGTCGGACGTGGGGTAACCCGGGGGGAGCGGAACCTGGCTCTGTTTTCACAAAAGAGCTCGGTCCTGTCTGTGTCCCAACAGACCTGAGCCGGCCCGGCCTGGCCTGAGGAAGTGAGGACAGCGCGGGCAGGGCCGTGGGGAAACCCCCGCTGGGCAGAGCGCCCCGAGTGCTCAAAGGCCTGCAAAGATGGGCAAGAGGAACCGTCCCCTGGGCCTGGGGACGGGTGGCTGGGTCACCGGCCAACCGCCTCCCTGCCTCTAATGAGAGGAAGGGGCCCATGGGGGCAGCAGAGAGCCTCGGATTCCCACCGATTCCTGCATCTCATGCTCCAGCACCACGGAGCACGCACCGCACGCTGGCCCTGGGCCCCGTGGGATGAGGAGGTGGCGAGACGCAGCCCCTGGCCCGGCGGAGGACGCAGACAGCGAGCCCGACCGGGGGGCAGCAGGACACGCACCTCCACGGTGGGGTTCAGGCCCCATGAGTGCAGAAGGTCCACAGGGGATGGCTGGGGGCCCAGCCGAGTCCCAAAGGACAAACATTGGCAAGTGTGGGAGGGATGGCGAGCAGGACCCGGCCCGGGGAGCAGCCAGACGAAACCCAGCTTCAGAGCTTGACGGGTGAGGGACAGAAGCCCCGTTCAGCCCGCGGCGCCCAGTCCCAGCTGCGGGAGGGCCCCAAACCAAGTCCCTTAAACCACCCCCCTCCCCGCCATCCGCATGGCCCATCATTCCCTTCAAATGCATCGTTTCTGCCACACTAAGCTCAGGACACGGGTTTCCAGACCTTCCTCAGAGAAGAAAGCCACCAAGATGGGCCCCACAGAGCGTAAGGACCGGGGACCGGGGGACCCTCCCTCCCGGAGAGATTCTGCGTAGGAAGACGGGACAGAGACAGGGCGGGGGCAGGTCCTGCTGGGAGGGGCCAGGGACCCCAGGAGGACGCGGCTCGGCTCGGTGAGTCACGAGCAGCCCCGAGTCGGAGTAACACCCACGCCCATCATCATTTTTTATTAGTAAAATCAGACCCAACCCTTCTCGCCTCCAGGAAGACTTCCCTGATTGACAGTCACCCTCATCGCTCTTCCCCACGACAGACTGGATCGTTGGCTTTGCCCTCGTCTCGGTCTCTGACTCAGCACGGGCTAAACCCACCTCACGGTCCTCCCTCCCGGACTGGCCCTGACGCCCGCCACCCTCGTCAGCTGCCAGCACCGTCCCCCTTGCATCCTGGCCTCTCCCCGGCTGCTCCGCCTTTGGGCACCGGTGCGTTGGGGCTCCCCCCCGGGGCCGGGAACCTTCACACGCAGCGCGTGCCTCTGCCCCCCGGCCCCTGTCCCATCGTGCATGTGTAGTCAATGAGTGACCAGAACATCACTCGTTGAGGACCAGCTCCCCGAAGAAGAGGTTCCTCCCTCTGGGCTGAAGGCGGAGGGCAGGGGCTGTCTCCCGCTCAGACGGCGGCTCCGGGGGGACCCCGTACCTGGGCGACCGAATCACCCCCTTCCCTAACCGTGAACTGAGACACCGGAAACTGTTGTGAAGCTGCTTTATTCTCCTCCCTCGCACGGTCCTCCCCACGGACACGCACGCGTGTGCGCACGCCCGTGGGGCACACGGGCGC